GGATGAAAGGAATTTGACTCACAAATATTTTGGGAAAAGAAATCCATTATTTTTACATGAAATTCAAGATTTTATTTAACATGTTTCGGATTACCAATTTTGGTCAAATATGCAGTGTTTTGTTCTATAATTTGTTGCCTTCTTAAAGGTAGCTTCCTAATGCCACTCTCATAAAAGTCTTGGGTCTTTGTTGGCGACAAACTCTGGTAATCGATTTTCACAATCATCTCTTGATGTCAATTTCTTAAAAAAAGTTTATTAGTTATCATTAAGAAAGTTTTGCAATGGAAGAAAAACATACCAATACATATCATACCATACCAACGGCCATACCATGCTGAATATACCGGTTCTCGTTAGTCAAGCATCATTGGGCGCGGTCAGTACTTGGGTGGGTGACCACCTGGGAACACCGCGTGCCGTTGGCATTCACAAATTTGGGACCTGAATGGTCGAGTGTCTGGCGCTCGGTGCCACAGGTTTCGGGTTCGAATCCCGGCGGTGCCATGGATGTTTGTAGTGGTTCGGAATCCACTTTAAGCCGTAGGTCTCGGTCTCCTATGACTGCAAGAGCGTCACGGGGCCAAAGTCAGACTTCTAGTCAGGTGCTCCATCACAACAGAAGCTGCTTCCTTCTCCTTCAATCATGAGTACGTATGGGCTCGTGGGCTTGGCCAGCCAAGTGGGATAAGAAACTACAAAACAACAACAGAAAAACATGGTAATCTCTTGTTGCCAGATCCGGACCAAAGGGTGGATGCATCAAAACTTCCCTACCAAGCTCCCGGAGTTCTGGCGAGTCACTATAGACGTGTGTGGCCTCTGGCGTTGTCCTGATGGAACACAACATCTCTCCTGTTGGCTAATTCTTGTCAATCGCTAGCTTAAAACTATCCAGTTGTTGACAGTAGAGATCCGAATTCAGTGTTTGGCCATATTGAAGCAAGTCATAAGAAATTATTCCTTTCCAGTCCCATCAAATGCACAGCAAAACTTTCCTGGCCGTTAGTCTTCGTTTGGCTACCGTTTGAGCTGCTTCACCACGCTTTGACCATGATTTAAATGTTTTAGCATAATGTTGTCGTATGTGACCCATTTCTCATCCCCAGTTATCATCCTTTTAAGAAATGGGTCGATTTCATTCCGTTTGGCCAAGGCTTCGCAAATGGGAATTCGATCCATCATGTTTGTTAATTGGTGTGGCGTGAGACAGTTTAAAAAATCGGATTGTTGCCAATACAACGTGTTAGCTATCAGATTGTAAATACTGTAATACAAGTTATTTCATTCCTATGCAGTTAAAGCAATTTTTAGGATCAATATAAAAGAACATGAAAATCATTTCACAGAGCAAAAAACATTTAATATAATGCCAGTTATGCCTCATCTCATTTGAGAAGACTGCCACATTTGAAACTCACTTCGAAAATATTCGAAAAAAAATGTGATTTCGTACATAATTCATTATTTTGGAATTTGTTCTACAAAGATTATACGATTAAGTTAAATGACAGTTCCTCAATTCCACAACAAGATTTGACCTTCGGAAATGAAATGCCCTGCTTTATTCCTTCCCTCCTAATCAGGTTAAAAATCACTTAAATGAAAAATTCACTATAGATTTCCAATAAACACAATAATGAATGAAATAAAATTTCACATTTCTGAAAATTTCGCACATAAATAAAAGTTCTGTGATGTGAATTTTTGGCAAGTTAATCTGAAATGAAGTGGGATTCACAAAAATAATATATAAAATTTTTATTAAAATTTATTTTGCAAATACTGAAATACAAATATAATATTTTATAAAAGAATTCATTCATTTTGGAGTATTATAATGATACTAATTACACTTTGGCCACCTATTTGTAATTAGGTCCATTAAGACAGAATTTATTCGTATACAATAAAAACTGAGAAAAAAAAATTAGATTACTGGAAACACAAAAAATTTAATAGAAATAAAAGCTTTATTAAACAAATATACAATTTGATTTAACTCATCAATGATAACCCTATTTTGCTATAATTACCCATTGTCGATGTGTTTTAATATTGTAATCCCCAAGAATTCATATCGAGAGAAGGCTTTGTTGCCCATAAAATATAGCAAAGGAAAGAAACCTCAGTGATCCTTTCCTCCATGAAGTTTTGAGAGCTATTTTAAGTGAGAATTCCGTGAAAATACTTTGGGACAAATAGGAGACTTGCAGAGTGGGTTCTCAAGTAGGAGTCTGCATGTGCTCATTTAATGCCTCTTTACGAGAAAATCTTGCATTGAAAAGGGGGCTCTCCGGCATGGGTCCTCAGGTGATACTTCAGGTGGCCTTTCTGAGTAAACGCTTTGCCACATTGAAAGGTCGCTCTCCAGTGTGAGAAAAAAGATGGCTTTTCACATGACTAAGTACAGACGAGCGGTATTCACAAATGGGACATTGATGTATCTTCACATTGCCTTCGTATCTGCTAATAATCCCTGCAAAAGAAAATAAGAATTAGCCTGCATTTATTAATGAATATTAGAGTTTAAGTCAAAAAATATCACCCATATTTAAAATGCACATATACATAATTAAATTAAAATAGACTCTATAAATTAATTGCAGATTTGCAATAACTAGTTAATTGCAGATCAAAGAGTTATAACGAGAAAATCGACTTAATATAAAAAATTATAAACGTCAAAATAAATAAAAAAATTATATAAAGAGGAAAAAAAAAAAAAAAAATTCAATCTTTGGAAATCAACGCATTTTCTCTCAGATTGTCAATAATGTTTTACTCACATGAATTAAAATCTTTCATCACACAAAACAAGTTTTTTAAGAAAAATTACTTTTACTAAGAAACCAATTATGTTCATCTCCCATGTGTGAAAACTGCATCATCATCCACTGATTTCGACAAGTATCTAAAAAAATTGATGCTTGCAATTTCTTAAATAAAAATTTCATTTTAATGTTAGCAAAATACAATTCTTAATATTTATGTTGATCTATTTATTTCGCTGGTTATATGGCTGGTTTGTCGCTCTACGGTCATCTTTTGCACAATTTAGACTACCAAGACCGGGCCCTACAGTTTAATGTGGGTTCCGAACCACCAACAAACATCCAAGCCACCTCCAGTATTCATACCTGAAACCTTCGGTACCAACGACAAGAGCACTAGCCAGTTGGCCATCAGCCCACTAAATTAATTTTACGATCAAACTATTAACAGTACTTATTTTGTAAATATTCAAACATAAAAGTTTAGAAAACGCATTTAAGGTATCTATTTTAATAGAACAAATGTATGAAAGCTAAAATTGTACAGAGCAGTATTTCTATAAATATTTATGCAAACTTCCAATAGAGTTGGGAGCATTTGTGATGAATATAATGACACATACATATTCTAGAGTATTATTAATTCCTTTTTTACACACACACACACACATTATATACACTGAAGTGACAAAAGTCATGGGATACCTCTTAATATCGTATCGGCCCTCCTTTCGCCCGGCGAAGTGCAGCAACTCGACGTGGCATGGACTCAACAAGTCGTTGGAAGTCTTCTGCAGGAATATTGAACCATGCTGTCTCGATAGACGTCCATAATTGTGAAAGCGTTGATGGTGCAGGATTTTGGGCACGAACAGACCTCTCGATGATGTCCCATAAATGCTCGATGGGATTCATGTCGGGCGATCTAGGTGGCCAGATCATTCGTTGGAATTGTCCAGAATGTTCTTCAAACCAATCGCGAACAGTTGTGGCCCGGTGACATGGCGCATTGTCATCCATAAAAATCCCATCGTTGTTTGGGTACATGAAGTCCATGAATGGCTGCAAGTGATCTCCAAGTAGCTGAACATAAGCATTTCCAGTCAATGTTCAGTCCAATCGCAACAGAGGACCAAGTCCATGCCATGAAAAAACAGCCCACACCATTACGGAGCCACCACCAGCTTGAACAGTGCCTTGCTGACAGTTTGAGTCCATGGCTTCGTGGGGTCTGCGCCACACTCGAACCCTACCATCAGCTCTTACCAACTGAAATCGTGACTCATCGGACCAGGCCACGGTTTTCCATTCATCTAGGGACCAACCGATATGCTCACGTGCCCACGAGAGTCGCTGCAAGCGATGTCTTTCTGTCAGTAAAGGCACTCGAGTCGGTCTTCTGCTGGAATAACCCAAGAAAGCCAAATTTCTCCGCACAGTTCTAACAGACAAGTCCCTTGTACGTCCCACATTGATTTCTGCGGTTATTTGACGCAGTGTTGCTTGTCTGTTAGAATTTACGACTCTTTGCAGACGTCGCCGGTCTCGGTCGTTAAGTGCAGGCGGTCGACCACTGCGCTGTCCATGGTGGGATGTTATGCCTGAAATTTCATACTCTCGGCACACTCTTGACACAGTGGATCTGGGAATGTTGAATTCCCTAACGATTTCCGAAATGGCATGACCCATGCGTCTAGCTCCAACTAACATTCCGCGTTCAAAGTCTGTTAATTCCCGTCGTGCGGTCATCATCACGTCAAAACCTCTTCACATGAATAACTTGAACAGAAATGAAAGCTCTGCGCATTTATACCTGTTCTACGCGATGCTACTGCCATCTGAAAATTTGCATATTGCTATCCCATGACTTTTGTCACTTCAGTGTATATATATATATATATACAAGCACATAATATGCAGATCACTTTGCTCGTAGAAAATAATATAGAGGACGAATTATCGATTTTATTTCCCAACAATAATTAGACGTAGTATTTCTACTATCATTACAGCTAATTTTTATTGTGTTGGTTTTATAAAAAATAAAGTAATATCACACAAATTTTTACGAACAACTACGATAAGAATGTAATGAATTAAAAGCAAAACTTATTCATAAAAACCAAACAGAGGAATTAAAGCTAAAAGGGTAGCTAAAGGTGTCTACTAGTCCGATATTCTAATATATAGTTGGCATTAAAAAGTATATCTTCTTATTAAAAATGGAAAATTAAAATTCCATAAGCCGGGAATTTTAAATTGAAGATGGGTCTTACTTTTTCAGTGTCACTTCAGTGTATATATATATATATATATATATATATATATATACAAGCACATAATATGCAGATCACTTTGCTCGTAGAAAATAATATAGAGGACGAATTATCGATTTTATTTCCCAACAATAATTAGACGTAGTATTTCTACTATCATTACAGCTAATTTTTATTGTGTTGGTTTTATAAAAAATAAAGTAATATCACACAAATTGTTACGAACAACTACGATAAGAATGTAATGAATTAAAAAGCAAAACTTATTCATAAAAACCAAACAGAGGAATTAAAGCTAAAAGGGTAGCTAAAGGTGTCTACTAGTCCGATATTCTAATATATAGTTGGCATTAAAAAGTATATCTTCTTATTAA